ATGGAATCCAATATAAACAAGCCGCCTTCACCTAAAAAAGAAGCTGCAGAAAAAAATGAAGATTCAACTGATAAATCTGATAATCAGAATGTTCATAAATTAGTCTGTAAACCCAAAACTGAGCCTGTAGAAACACAGAAAAAAGATTTTGGGACTATTTTTGAGGCTTTGGTAAGTGCATTGAAAATATTCTGGAGTTTTCTCCATATATGTTTGATTGAAGTTTATATTTTGAACAGATTTGACCTTAAATTAAGTGCCATCAAAAGCTATAACTAATTGCGTTTCCCTGCTTTAAAGGTAATTAATTATATAATGAAAATATTTAAAGGCAGATGATATTTAATCATTTTTTATCCCAAGATAAAAATATTATTTTATTTTCTGTATCTTTTCCTTTTGTTTCTACATTTGTAGAATAATAGAATCAAAGTTTTATGGGATTAATTTTATTGTTTACTTGTATCTTTGCTTAGTATTATGGCATTATTATATGTTTATTTCCTAGTTCTCACGTTTTTCCACTAAAAGCATTGTTCTCGCGTTTTTCCAATAAAAGCAAATTTTTGCCACCAAATATTATTGCCCTGTATGTTTTTTAAAGAAATTAAATTAATGAAGAATCTGCGTGTTTATATGTATGTTTGTTGCACTGGGAAAAAGCAATGGTACTTAGAGTTATCAGATATTGGATACTGTTCTGTTATCAGGACCAGATTCAGGAAATGTATGTATATAGGCATGTATGTATGGATTTATGTGTTCATGTATGCATGTATATACAAGTATGTGTGTGTATACATATACACATATACCTACATACATACACATGTGCATACATATATACATACATTTCTTAACCTGATCCCAATAACAGAACAGTACCAAATTTTGAATAATGTAGTCCTCCACCCGAACAAGTGCACCTGGAAGTCCAGATTTTTAATTTTGAATTTTTTTCACATTTTGTCAAACTTGAATGAATTTTGATTAACAAACTGAACAATTTAAAAGCAAGCAACACTGTGTGGAATAAACATTTTTATCTTCAGGGCGCAAGGTTGTCTGTAAGAAATTCTTAAGTTATACTGTTTTTAAATATTTTGTGATTTTGCTGTTGAATTGAATTTTACATGGCATAAGTCCAAAGAGCATGATATTTAATGAATAAAGTTAATGCACAAAACATTAATAATAAAAACACACATAAAAAAAGTCTGCAAACCATCTTACTAAGAAAACTGACCATTAGTATGATCATCTGAGAAAAATAAAATGTCGTAGGTAAAAAAATAGAATGTAGTAGGTACTGTTCTGTTATCAGGGACCGGGTCCAGAAATGTATGTATGTATCCATGTATGTGTTCATGTATTCATTTGTATATGTACATATGTATCTGTGTGTAAACACATACTAATATGCACATACATACGCATGTGCGTGCATGCATGCACTTCTGAACCCAGTCTTGATAACAGAAGGATACCAAATTATATGCCAACACTTAACACTGCATTGTTACTTCTAAACATATGCTGCTATGTTGCTTTTCAATTTTTTGTAATTTTTCTGTTTAATTGTTTATTTTCTAAGTATGAAGAAAATGATACTTAATAATAAAGCCAAAAAGAAAATGGTTAACAGGAGTGAGTATAACAGCAGATTGGTGCACTGGAGGCTCAGTAAGAGATTTAGAAACTTAAATCCTTTTGGCAATCATTAAAATCTGAACCCTTTCGGATTTATTTTATTTATTAGTCCGAAAGGATTAATAATTAGTAGTCCCAGAAGGACTATTAATTTCGTTTTGGCATTTGCCGTCAATTCATGATAAGCATTGTTTCACTTTTCAAATTGTTGCCACCAAATATTATCGTCTGTCATATATTTAAAGAAATTAAATAATGAAGATTTGCATGAATGTATGTATGTTTCTTGCATTGTGATAAAACAATGTACTAGAGCCATCAAATTTGAATAAGTTCTCCATAGAAATAGCAATGAAGCCTGAATTTGAAGTTTTTTCTTATCGATTTCATATTTTGTTGCTCTTCACGAATTTTTATTTAAAAACTAAAATTTCAAAGAGAGCATGGCAACATGTACAAAAACATTTTTCTCTCCAGGCGGCTGTAAAGATATGATTTTAAAATTATTTTGCGAGTTTAAAAATTTTATGGTTGAGTACTAGAACATGATACTAATAATAAGTAATATACAAAACTTAAAAAAAGCCCCTTGACGTATTTAAATCTGAAACCTTTCAGATTTTTGTTTTGTATTATCTATTATTATTGTGTGAGAGATTATTATAGTACATACATGTCTATATATAATTATTATTTTGTGAGGAGAGTAAGAGAGAAACAATATTCTGTTTCGTATCTTCTTACCATTTTGAGTAGATAAAAGAATGTGTGATAAAAATTGGTAGTTTCCTTACATCATTTAACCTCTTTCACTATCTATAATTTTAGAAACTCCTGTTAGGGGTACATTATGAATAGAATGATAAATATCTAAAAGAAATTTTTTTTTTGGTGAATACAATGAATCTCTGTTAGCATCATTAATGTTAAAATACATTCCACAACTGAATAAGATATACAGTCAAAAGTCTTTAATCCGGACTCGCCGGGACTTCAGCGATTCCGGATTATCGATTTTTAGATCATCAGTTTAATCTGGTAAGATGGCATGCAGAAATTATAAATTACAAATATAAACCTAATTAATATAAAATAATGAGCATTATGATGTAAAGGGTATCAAAATTTACAAAAAAAAAGTTAATATTTATTTGTTTTTTATTAAACATTTCTTTCAACGCGCGCATGCGTAAGCATACCTTACGCTAGCCGAAATTAGAAATTGCAACCAGAAAACTATTTGATTTGTATTCGTGATATTTTAATGACGAGGAATTTGATTAAATCATATCAAAGATAGAGTACATCGAGATTAATACTACATTTAGTAAGGAATTATAAGCCAAATAATAAACATCTGCCCTGAAGATAACGATAGGCTGACGATCACTTCAGTTCATTGCGCACCGCGACGTTCCCCCCCCCCACGCAGAGCACGTGAAATTGAAACAGATTTCGGAACAGATAAACAAAGGATATGCCTTTATCCATTTTTTTGTAGCATGTTTTTTGTTTGATGGACATCGAAAAATGCTTTTTTTCTAGATCCTTTGGGAGCTCCAGCATGGAAATTCTATTTGACATAATCGAAGTTCAGCTTACTTTTATAAAATTGCTCTAACAGTTTGCAAAAAATAATAAGCTGGATCCAATTTGAAGATTAAGGAACAACGCAATCATCAACATTAACTGAAATAGGTAATTAGATAATTTTAGCTTATACTGTCCATTATACATAAAATGCGCATGCGAAAACGTATTTTGCGCTTGCGCAGACGCATATGCGCAGTCGTAAATGTCTTGCGCTCACGTAAAACGCCTATGCGCATGCGTCAATGCGGCGCATGCACAGAAAGATTTTTAGCTTTGAGGTCCGGATTATAGATCATTCTGGATTATGGTAGTCCGAATTAACGACTTTTGACCGTATTGGAAAAAATTATTTAAATAATTTATGTATCATATTTCATAAGCAGTGAGAGAGTTTTCTTTGCATTGACATTTACGTTGTGATTACTTAAGTTAACCACATAAGCATTTCATTAGTTAGACTTTGTGTTAATTAAGCATTTCATTAGTTTCATTATTGCCTAACAGTTAGAGAAAATAATGCTAAACTATTAATTGTATTGGTAACATCTACCAGATAAATTTTCAAAGTACAAATACATAAAATGCAGGTACATTCAGTACTATATTAGAATCTGTGTTTGTACTTCAATTGATAAGGCAAAGTTAATCACAAAATTAGAGGTAAATTGTATTTATTATATAAGTTATTGCTTTTACTAGTTATATGTGCTGACTGTTACTAGCGTATACTGAGGGTTGCCTTAAGTATTCCAACTTGATGAAATATCTGTAACAAATTACAGAGAATTTTTCTGAAGTGAAGGAAGTGTTCTGTTTCATATATCACAAATATCACAAATACTGTCTCATCAAGAAAACACATGGGGGGGGGAACAACAGTTGAAGAGTAAAGTAGATGAAATAAGCCTCATTCAGCATAGTAAATTATACCATGCTTAAAAATCCAAAGCTGTTATCAGAAACTAAATGGTCATTAATATAGATAAGTGTTTTCCATTTTTCATATATGGGTGTGCTATAATTTACTTGTAACTTGTTGAAAACATGTCCAGTAAATTTTATGAGACTGGAAAGAAGATTCTAATGAAGAAAGTTCTGTGTATTATTATTGTGTTATAGAATTTATTATTTTTTTGGTGACTAACATAGGCATTATTTCAGTTGGAAAATCAAAATATGGTATTCAGCAGGTAAATTGTTTTAACTTACTGAAGCTTCATATTGTAAATTTAATAATTAAAATATTCCCGTTAACGTGTTCTGTTCTCTATTAATTTAAGCTATGATAATTTATGTTTTTACAAATGTATAAAAAATAAATAAAATAAATAGTTAAACACTACCATTTGTTAAACATGACCATTTACTTCTACACTAAGTTTTTGTCAATTCGGAAAAAGAGAATTCATGAATATTTATTTCAAGACTGTGTAATTCTACTTTAAGTAATAATTATTTTTGTTTGAATGCAGTTTAATGGAATGAAAGTGGCTTTTGGTTAGTAAACAGTGTTAGAGATTTAAATCTTTTCTTTTTTAAACATTAAGTTATTTACTTTCTGTAGTTTTTCAGTTTGAAATTCACATTTTTAAAATTTTTATTATAGAGATTATGATCTAAATAACCAACAAACTAAAGTATAATGCATCTATAACGAAGTTACTTATCTTCTTTTTGTTAATTCAGTGTATATTATTAACATAGTTGTTTATTGTAAGTGTAGTTTTGTTTTTTAGAAAAGAATGATTTTTTTCCCCCCAGTCTAAATGTACTATCAGTTCTGAAGAAGAAGCTGCAGTTGCCCTTCAGTCTGTAAGCATATTAATGAATTTGTTGATCCGTTATAATCTGCGGCATCTGCCTTGTGATGTTGTTGAGGTATGTTCTCACTATTTTAACTTATATTGTTTTAAGCATGTTTTCTACAGTTTCAGTGGAACTGGTAATGAAGTAAAAATATTTTTTAATGTTCTGCTCTTCAGTTATGATTATTAATGAATGAAAGACTATACATAATTAAATTGTAGACATTTGAAATATGTTATGATCATTTTTCAACATAATTTCAAAGATTATTTATGTGTGAAGTTTTCCAGTTTGATAAATTGATGGGATTATTGATTGTACAAATTTGATGTATTTTGTCATAAATATTTCACGTCTTTGAGATGAGTTAGCAGATTTGCAAGACATTAGGCATTCAGGTAAGAAATTTGCATTTATTATAGAGAAAAATGATTCGTTAAGTTTACTTCGGTACAAATGTAGCATTACTGCTGCTTTTGTATTATTGGTGCAAAATTTAATGAAGTTTGCATGGTTTAGAATTTAATGCCTCATAATGTTAATTTTTATCTGCTGTAAAAAATATCGCTTTTATAGTGCATTAAAAATTAGCATTTGTCTTTTCAATTATTAGGTTATTTTGATTAATTTTGAGTCTGATCTTATATTTAAAATAAACAAATAAATAAAAATTTGCAAACAGTATTGATTTTTGGAAATAAATTAAAATTTATGAGACTATATGCGAAAGATTTCAAATGTGAATAAGGGTTGAAATGTGTATTAAAAGTTCTTTGACTTGAATTTGGTTATAGGAAATATAAGTGATAAATCTAATATTATATTTACCATAACTGTTGGAACATGGATGACTGATATGCATCACTTAATAAACCCTTATCATTCTAGCAAAGCAAATAAAACTAGAGTATTAACACTGGGACTTTATGTGAGTTATTTAACATTTTTGTGTTTTTCTTTTCCGTTTGTTAGTACAACAGTAACATGTTTTTATGATTTCCTTCAGAATGTGTGACAGTATGCCATAATTTTATTAAAATTAAATGCTGTTCACAGCCTTGTTATTCAAAATCACTCTCCAGAAAGTTAATGTTTAGATACGTTTTTGATCTGCGTGTAATAAAATGTTTCAGTAGGAACATCATTTTATTGCATATTTTACTTAAATTATAATAATCAACTGCTTAAATGTGACATACATATTGATAAGTTCATAATATTATAGAGGAAGCTGTATTCTTGTAGTACTGAGGGTGTCATTTGTTTCAGATTTTAAACTATTATCTCTAGAATATAGTTATTAAAATATGTCTTCTTTATTAATAACTGTATTTTGGAGAATCCTTTATGTTGAGTATCCAAGCTTTAATAATGGAGATGTTAAATATCTAAATAGTTGGCTTGCTAATATAAAATAATCACAAATTTGTGTTAAGTAGAATAAAAAATTTCTTATAACATTAAAAGGAACTGTGTTTATAAGATTACAATGTTTGGTCCTCGAATGGTAACACTCAAACAAAGAACTCCCATAATGCAATTTTTAGTCATATTTTTTAATAATAGTATAAGGAATTAATAGGAATAAAGTGGGCAAGCTTGTACTATAGGTCACGATTAGGTGAGTATTGCCTCGGTAAGGCAATACTCACCTAATCTTGAAAATTGTAACTCGTTGTGATTTCTTGTACATTAAAATAAATCTCAAATTATATACCGGGTGATCAAAAAGTCAGTATAAATTTGAAAACTTAATAAATCACGGAATAATGTAGATAGAGAGGTAAAAATTGACACACATACTAGAATGACTGGGGTTTTATTAGAAAAGCCAATAATTAGCATAAAAATTAAGACAAACAAAGATGAGTTCTTACAGGAAATGCTCATTATGTTTACCATCATTCCTCAACAATAGCTGTAGTCGAGGAATAATGTTGTGAACAGCACTGTAAAGCATGTCGGAGTTTGTGGCATTGGCGGATGCTTTCAGCACTAGAGATGTCGGTCGATCACAATACACTGCGACTTCAGGTAACCCGAAAGCCAATAATCGCACGGACTGAGGTTGGGGACCTGGGAGGCCAAGCATGACGAAAGTGGCGGCTGAGCACGGTCTCACCAACGACGTGCGCATATGGGGGGAGCGCCATCCTGCAAAAATCGTACGTTCCAGCAGGTGTTTATCAGCCAGGCTGGGCACGATGCAATTACATATCGGCGTACTTCTCACCCGTCACGGTAGCAGTACAAAAAGAATCGAGCATTTCTCAAAGAAAAAAGGCCCGATAACAGTACTTTTTTTTAACTTTTTTGGTTCTAATAAAACACCATGTCATTCTAAGTATGTGTGTCAATTTTTACCTCTATCTATTATTCCGTTTATTAAGTTTTCAAATTTATACTGACTTTTTGATCACCCGGTACTTGCATTTCAATTTGGCTGCTTGTGTTCTGTAGGAGACTAGATGTTCACAGTTTATGGGTTCTTTTTCTTTCTTTCTTTCTTTCTTTTTTTTTTTTTAAATCTGCATAGTTAGTTAACTACTGAGTGTGTGTAAGGAATTTATTATGAATAGTTGCCTTTTGTATTTTGTGACAATAAACAGGCAGTAAGTAAAATTTACATACACTTAATTGATCAGATATTGATTCAGTTTTAAAATTGGATTAAACTAATTCATTATGCAAATTATGAATATTAATGTGACTGAAGAAAATGAACATAATGTTATTTATATAATGAATAGTTATTTGTTATTTTATCGGTAAAAGCAGGTAATCAAAATGTTAAATTTGTTAATGCTTTTATTGATGTTTTAAGGTGGCTTGAAACTGAAGTTTTGTTATCTCTGTTTTTCTTTGGGTGTGCGAATTAACTATTTTTATTTTCAATTTTTTTTTCTTTCCATCATCTGTGATCACTTTATAATAGTGTTTTTGCAAAATAAATCCTATATGGATTTGTTTCGGTTTTTATATCATTACCAAGAATGTCTTTTGAGACACTCATATTTTAGAAATACTCTTTTTTTAAAATTTTTATGCATATAATTGTTTCTTTTTGAGGGAAAATTCTAAATTGCTCTTAGAGATGTTTCTGTTTGCAAACAGGCAAGTATGTTATTTAATTAGTACCTTTCTGCTGTATTAAAGCTATTTATTTCACAGTTGTCCATTTTAAGAAAAAAGAATTTGTTACTTGCATCTTATTTTATAGCCATTATAAAGTATTTTGAGATGTGTACATTTATTTATTAAACGGAATTAAAAAAAAAAAAAAACTGGTATTTAATAACAAAATGATAAACAAAAAAACAAAAAGGAAGATAAACATCTCATTGTAAAACTGAAAATTAGGCAAAAGCAATCTAGTTTTTGGATAGATTTTAAGTAAAACTCAGTTTCGAGGCCAATAAAACACAGGTCTTTATTCTGGAACAGAATTTTTTTTTTTTTTCTTTCTGAAGAAGAGGGAAATATATCTGATTGCTTTGAAATCAATAGAGTTTTTTTCAAAATCTATGCCAAAATAAGGTAGCTGTTTTCCTAATTTTAAATGATAATTTTTTATTTATTTTAAATGATAAGCAGAAAAACTAATTTTCCTGTGGTAACAGAAATACAGTATTTCAAATTTTGTATAATGTAACATGAACGGTCTCAAGAAAACCCAAATTTTGCTGGAAAAATAAGATTACAGGTAGAAGTCTACAGGATGTGTTGCTAAATTGGCAAGATATCACATGCTGGCAATGGTTTTGGCAGCTGATATTTTCCCCAGCTTTGGCGAGAATTTGCCTAAGTTCCCAACCTTGGCTATCATTTGGCAACATTTTGCTCTAGCTCTTGCATGACTGTAATTGGCCTAAATGCCTCTATAGCTGCAACTGTATCTGACCCTTATATATAACTGTAATTATATATACCTTTCAGTAATCTTGAGCAATGGAAGGTGCTGGAAATTTCTAGGTGGCCAGGGGAAAACTAGTACATAAGACTGGAGAGAATATTAGTTCTCAGATTTTAGTTCAGAGTTGAGTTCTGAGTACTGAGAGATCTCCGTGCGACCTTTGCACTTTATATGTACTTTGCTTTGCATTATGTTTAATGCTGTGAAAAGTTGTGATAACTACTGATTGTGGTCTGATATACCGAGAAGAACTGTACAAGTTCTTTTGTATAAATTTCCAAAACTGTAAAGTGTTTCTTATGGGAAAATAAATTTTATCAAGCTATCATCGATTCTTTGTGCATTCAATCCATTATGAATCCGTATGCACATAACAATGCGTTAAATTTATGGACTTAAAAAAATTCATTTTTAAAAATTATTTAAAAATATTTTAAAATTAAATTTAAGTGCAGTTAATTTAGTATAAATCAATACTAAATTAAAATTAGTGTGTATCAATACTAAATTAAAATTAGTATATATCAATACTAAATTAACTGCCATTAAATAAACTTATCTGAATTTGATGTATTAAAAGCAGAATACATGAAACTGAGATACATTTAGTGACCCGAGTAAAACAGTCTGTGGCCTAGGCAAATATGAGAAATTATAGAATGAATCGAGTATGAAGAATTAAACCAGAAATCAGAATTATGAGGAATTTTAGAATGATTTGAGATCTTCTTAAAGACTGAAGCTTAGTCCTTTTTGGCCTGGTAGTTATAAAGATCTGTTTACGTAGAGTGTTTCGGATCTCTCTATATAGGACTGCATTATTTCTTCAGAGTTGGGCATTTTCTCATATATAGATGGATGCTGAGTGGCTTTGATCAGAATAGTGGTTAGCGACAAACGCTGCCATATCATTAGGCTCGATTTCAAATCCCATGGAAGGCTTGGGCGTTTGTTAGTGTATAATGTTTCTGCAGCATCAGGGCACATAAAATTATAATGAGCCAACAGTCCTGTCAAAAGATTTGTGGTAAGATAAGATGAGTGGAAAACTCTTGGATCCATCTGCATGTGTATTCCCCATCAAAATTAGGATGGAGTGTGGTGGGAACTGTACCTGTAGAAACAAGCGGTGAAGTTTTGGTTTGTCACCCACCTCATCTTATCCTGTTTGAATAATGATACAGAAGTGTGGCAGGGATCAACAAAGAGTATTTGTACAGTTATTATTGAAATTTCCATTTGTATTCATGACTTTAAACTGTGCTTCGTAAAGAAACCTAGCACAGTCATTGAATTTCTGTAACTCAACTCTCTGCAAGTGTCAAGAAAAGTATGGATTGCTTTTTAGAATGACGACTTTCGTACTGTGGAGTGAATTGTCATATTTTGTTTAATAACTTGTGCAATATATATGATACGACATCAAAACAATCATGTATACTATCTTCATATGTGCATATTTACCAATGATTTAGCAGAGCAGTGTTTGATTTCAGTTTTGAAGACCTTGGTGTGAACACCGGGCTTATTTAACCACATTTAAGGACATTAAGGCTGGACTGAGACTTTAGCACCAAGGCTGAAAGGTGGTACTGTCAGATAATGCTAGCAAAACAAGCTAAATGCTTGGTCTCCACAGATGTTTTATATATCAGTGTTGTTTGAGCTAACTCAACTAGTATATGCTTTTTAATATATAGTGTGCAGTTGATTCACAGATGATTTGCTGAACTATACAACTTGCTAAAAGATTTGAAAATGCAATTTCATATGTCACTGAAGAAAACATGAGCACAGGTAGCATAAGCAGTGACAGCTTTTAGAAGACTAAATTTCTATTGATATAATTTTTTAAATTGAAAGCAGTTTATCCATACATTAAAAAATTGTTTTCATTCACTTATATTCTGTCTTTTTAAACTGTTCATAGAAAGAATTGCATTGCTGATGCCCCAGATGATCTGAGAATAAATGTGTAGTCATCTTCGATATAGGTAGTTTATGCTACAAACGATCATGCAGTACTGATTTAATGTGTTAATGCGATGTATTTATTCTTGCTTAAAGACATTAAAAGTTTTGAAGACGAAAATAATTGCACAAAGATGAATTTTTTCCGCTGATAATTTAAGTTAGATGGCAAATTTGTAATTTTAATTTCAATATAATTTGTTTCAATGTAAGATCATAATTTTATGAGTCTTTAGAAAAATGCTTTATTTTAAAGATATTTTTCATGCAATAAATTTCTAAAATTTTAAATTATGTATTTAGAACTAGTATTTCTATCGCCATTTATTTGCTTACACGTGAATTTGAAAACTTGGATTAAAATGTGCATATTATGTATTTCTGTTCAGTTAAAAGATGCAGGGAAATGATCTTTGACATATAGTCTTGGTATTCTTCATTCTTACCTTCCTTTTCAGTATAAAATCATCAAATATGGTTTTGGTATAAGTAAGCATTAGCTTTATTGTTATCTGGTAACTGCATCTATTCCATCTCAGAAATACATTTTTAATTTTCAAATTTTTGAGAAGACAGACAGTGTATTATCCATATTTAGTTTTTCTGATTGTTTGAAATTTTCTGATTTGAAGTATGAAATTAAATCAGAAGTATTCTTCTATAATTTTTATCTTAACATCTGATAGGAGTTTTTAAGTTTGTTTTTATCATCTTACATTTACTTTCTTATGGTTTCTATAATTTTTATGACTGTAGAATGAATAAAATGATATTCCTTCATGTAACTTTCTTTATATTAGAATTCAGTGAAGTTGCTTCACAGCAGAAAGCCAGAAAATATAGAAGAACTTGTCACTTTAATTAATGGCAATAAAACATTTCCAGAAGTACATGATACAGACACTGTAATTGAGAAGGAAGTAGACAAAAATGAAGATAACACAAATAATATTTCTAATTCTAAGAGCACTGCAAATCCTTGTTCTGATGCAATTAAAGATGTTCCGGAAAGTGCCGATTTGAACACGTTTAATGGGAATGGCTCTAACCCTCAAAGTGGTATAAACATACAAGAAGGTAATTCAGAAGAATTTGAGTCGAAAAATGAAACATCTAATCTAAGTATTACTTCTGGGTATCCTGTACCAAATGTGAATGCAGATGCTGTTAAAACATCTAATTTTGAAGCATCTTCTTGTGATAGCGGACAGATATCTAGTGATTTTTTACCACCACCATTTTTTGGTTGGTCTAACAGAAATGATATGCAGACCATGTCTAACCCATATCCGATGCAACAGGAAAATTTTAATCCCATGGCATGTTATGGTACTTACCAAGCTTCACCTGGGTTAATATATTTTCAGCAGCAGCAAGCTCAGTTGAATACAAACTCTGCATACTCTGGCACTCAGTATCCCAAACAGTTTGCAGCATCTCTTCCTAAACAGATTCCAGGGGCTTCAAATGCAATGCAGACTCTAGGAACATGTGCTCCACCACCACCACCTCCACCTCCACCACCTCCGCCACCTCCATTACCATTGTGCAATCCACCTTTGCCACCTTCTCTTGTCGGTCCAACATTCTCTTCGACAAATACCGCAGCACCACCATTGCCTAACAATCCTCCACATTTGTCACAGATGCGATCGTCAACTGTTACCTCTCAGAGAATGTTTTGAAATAACTATTTTCTGAGAAAGCTGTGAATAAATTATATTTTATTCTAGTTTTTCTCATAACATGCATATGACAGTTCAATATAATTCTGCCTTTTTCGTGTAATATTTGTCATGTTTTTTAAATAAAGAATTATTTTTGTGTTTTTTAGGCAGTACAAAAAACTTTGTTTTCTATTGCATTTGTTTGAATTTTTTTCATTAATCTTTGATTTAATATTGTTTTGTCATAATTAAAAAATTATGTTATGAACTTTATTTCAATAAAGCTAATTTTAGTATGTTAAAATACCTGCTGTATATAAGAAAACATATATGCAATACTATACATGCTGGATTGTATTAAGAATATAATAAAACTTATTTATCTCAAATATCAAAAGTGTATTCTTAGTTACTTTTGCATTCGATCAGTTAGTAAAACAATTACTGACCAAATATAAATGGCTATAGATAACATATATTTAAGAAGGTATGCTTTATTTTTGGATGCTAAGAACATGGAAATGCATCTGTTTTTATAATCGAAGTGGCTGTGAAATACTAGTTTGAGAAGGATGAAGAAGGGAGTATCCAATCTTCTATAGATTCTTTGAATGCCTTAACATCATTAAAAGATCCAAATTATAGTTTGCATCGCATTGTTACAGGAATTCTGAAGCTTAATCAGATTCTAAAATGTCAAGAGTTTTAGATTCTCTGCTCCTGGATCCCTGGCCATGCTGGCATAAAAGGGAATGAACCAGCAAATATTACAGCTAAGGCTGCTATTACAGTGTCTACCTTCAGGTCCCACTGGCAGATATCAGGGTATTGACCAGATGTAAAATTCTCAATAAATGAGAGATTCATTGGGATGATCAAGTAAACAATAAACTGAGAATTGTTAAATCCACTATTGATTGCTACCAGTCTGTGTTAAATAGAAGGGAGAAGTACTACTTTTAACTCGTTTGAGAATTTATCACTGTTGCCTGACTCGTAAAAATCTTCTGAAAGGCAAGAGAAATCCACTTTGTGTAAATTGCCGTGCAGCTCTGACGGTTCATCGTATTTTACTGAAATGCCCTTGTTTTAAATATTTTTGCCTAAAACATTTTAATTATTTCAAGTTGGATTTAGAAAATATAATAGGGAAACACCTCATCAGAAATTGCTCTAGTTTTTTTAAAGATGTTGGCTTTTACCATAAAATGGAATCATAATTGTTCTCATTTTTATCTGGTGGGAACCATAAATTGTAATGTTTTTCCAAAATTGTTCTCATTTTTATCCGGTGTGAACCATAAATTGTAACCTTTTTCCATAATTGTTCTCATTTTTATCCAGTGTGAACTATGTTCTAACTGCACGCATGCAGTATTTTAACATACTCTTTAATCTTCGCTTCAAACATCGGTTTGGGGCAGATAACCGTGTAAGATTTTGTACCAGAAGTTGCAAAACAAATGAACAAATCAATCCCATATATCTTTTTGACATAAATCTCTGTCTCTTTTCCTCTATAATGTTTTAAAACTGTGTCTATTAAGTATCTTTCTAATATAGTACTAAATACTAAAATCAGTGTATAAAGAATCATTAATCATGCTTAAAGGAAGATTGACTTCCAAGTTGGCCATTCAGTCTCTTGAAAGGTACTTCAGTTTCAGCTTTTCAGGTAGGTGCAGATTTTTTGTTAATTTTTGGCATATTTTAACATGTTAATATTGCTTTAGAATAAGATTAATTTTTAAGTAAATTCATAAGGAAATTAGAACAACAATATATTTCATATTATCTAATTAGGATTTTATAAAACATGTTATGAAAATACTTTCTGGTCTGTGAAATTCACAGGTTTTTTTTATTAACAATATATACACATTATGGAAGCTAGACCAGATTAATTTTTTTTTGTTTTTGAAAATATTTTTTTATTTGTAATTTTTCTGCATCAGGGCTTGTTTTTGTATTAAATTAAAAAAGAAACAAAGTTTTTAAAACATCATGAATTCATTCTTAGATCGTTATTTTATACTTGGGCAGCTTGCAATTTATAATTTTGTCCCAAGATGCATTACATTTGGCTTAGAAGCATCTTTTATTGCTTATAAAATGTTGCATATTTGTATAACAATTATAGTTAAATTTTAAATTATATTAATTGCACTATACCAGTTAAAAATTATTGAAAATTAAAATATAAATTATTAAAAATACTGTTTTAACTCACTCAGTTTACTCAGCAATGCAGTATTTTAATTTGAAAGGTAAGTTAAAAATCTCTGAGCAATTTGTTAGGTCTTTCTAGTCTTAAATGAAAGATTTTATACTGATTTCTTTCATGATTAATATTGACTTGTAATAATGTATGCATAGCAGGTCAAAGCAATCTGAATATTGCTTCAGCAGTGAGTCTGAAGATACTGCTACATTTAGCAGTACTGCTGAAGCATATGCATGCATTTAAACACATTGGTAGGGCACTGAGATATGAATTTTTTAGGAAATAAAGAAATCACAAGTTATGGAAAAAACTTATTATTTTTTTATGTTGAAGCAATTTGCTCATTTTAAGCATGAAAAACATAATTTATTAATTTTAGAAACAGAAGGTTTAATTATTATGCCAAGTGTTTAAAATACTTGCAAGTTTCTACAGTGTTAATCTTGTGGATAAAATAGCAAACACCCTTAGATTGCCATGTATGTTCATGTAAATGTTTTAGCTGATTGTTCTCATCCAATAGTAAGAATGTTTGAAGTAATGGTAGGAAAACTCCAAATTTGTCCAGATTGCGGGGTTTATGCTCCTTTGGCAACTAAATGTGACTCCTTTTTTGCATCAATTTTCATTATGGAAGAAACCAGATTTGTTTAGCATTGAGTCGCCAGGGAGTTTGGCACCAGAGCCAGTATAGTACTATGGCTGGCAGAATTTGGGATTGGCAAGAATTGTACCTACAGCAAAAGCTATTGCTTGCCCTCGTTATCAGTCACAGCGACTAATACTGTGCATAAAAGGCAAACACGATCAGCCTGATCTATTTAAGCCTTTGGGTAATTTCTCTTTCAAAGGGAACAATTACAAAATCCAATCGCCAGCATAAAGGGCTCTTGTTTCATAGATGTACCTCTATTTAAATTAGTCTGCCAGAAATTATATTTAAAAAAAAAAAAAAAAAAAATGTTTTTTTTTTTTGTATTTTGTTTTTTTGAATTCTGTAAATGAAAATTTTTAAATACTTAGTTAGAAAAGTGAATAATTATCAGTGGCATTTTATTTGTTGTACCATTTGGAAATATGGTTTTCCTGTGAAGTCTGTATTTAACAGAAATGTATATGCTGAATACTTTATAAGCTCCTCAAATAATATCAGCATATAGTGAGTGGAAATTTTGATCTGATAAATATGTATTCTAAATAAAGTTGAAATAATGTATTTATTCTTTTACCTTTTGGAAGTATGGTTTTCCTGTGAAGTCTGTATTTAACAGAAATGTATATGCTGAATACTTTATAAGCTCCTCAAATAATATCAGCATATAATGAGTGGAAATTTTGATCTGATAAATATGCATTCTAAATAAAGTTGAAATAATGTATTTATTCTTTTACATTCAAACGGATGGTGTATTATAAAATGAGCAAAAATGCAATAATTAAAACTATTATAAATCAAAATTCATCAGCCACAATTCAGTCAAAAAATTAGCATTTTGTAACCTAACAAAATAAAGGAAGGTCCCACTATTAAATGAGTGGGATGTTTGAATGGCAAGATCAAGTGAATAAGAGGAATGAACCAAAACATTTATAACTGTACTCAATAAGTGCCTGCTGAACATTCATTGAAATATGGGGGTCTAGTATTAGCATGATGAAGCACAGTATGTAGCAGTTGATCTGTTGTATATTCTTTGCATTAATTTCTGCCTTCTGAACTATTTAGATACAAAAAAAGTATTACATTATTTGTTAGAATTAATAATCTGATTTGGTGGAAACAGATTTTCTGCTTGTTCCTGGGATAAATTGTATGTTTAGAAGTTGTTTTGATGTAACCCATGATCTTCATAACATTGATGTGAAGGATTCCTTGTCCTTAGTGAAGTATTTCAGGAACAAAGCCCTATCATTTCAAGAGAGAATCATAAGCCAAAATTTGATCAAACCTATTTTGCTGTGCCAGCGTGAGGTATCCATGCATTACAGCTGCTAACTCATCCAAGCTTGATCATGTACAGTGCTTTTCAGAATATTTCATCTGTCTGCTAGTTCTAAAAGTGTATAATGGAGGTTTTCATTGATGACTTTTTATTACCCTTTTGGTGAGAACAGTATGTGAAGAATACATTATAATCCTGGAATAAACTAACAATTACAGGATCTAAGAAGGCTATGAAATGAGATAACTGATCAACAAGGGCTTTCTGACAACACATAACATTTAAGGATCTCTCATGGTTTAAAAACTTGATGATTCTGATGAGGAAGTTTTTCATGTCATCAAACATCCATCATCACTGTGAAAAAAATTAACTGTTTGTTTATGCAAAATAGTAACATACAGAACTTATTTAACCATAGAACATTGTTGAAATTCAGTTCTAATGTACCTTGCATCAGGATAGATGCAAAATTAGATAACAGGTATGCCATATTAACAAAGTTTGGTTTCTAACGCTTATAGCATGCCCCATATTATTTGCACCCAATGTACCCTAATCTCCATTATTGCACTTACATAAGATCTGCTGCACTGTTCCTCATAGTTCAGTTGTGCCAACCTGGACAGCTATCAATGATGCATGAATGGCTAGTTTGGATGTGGCTTGTATATACATACATTTATGGTATAGGCCTCCGTAAATTTTTCGGTACTGTTGTGCTTAATAATCCTTTAATTGTTGCCATTTTGAAGAAGGGGAAGAGCCTTGGAAACTTATCAGTTTTGTTTCAGCAGTATCTTCAATGTCAAACATTGCTAATACTTAAACATTTCTGACCCATTATCATAAACTAGTGTAAATGTTTAGAGGAACCCAGATGGCAACCAGGATTTTTGTGCAGATACCCACTTCATTATTCTGGATGGCTAGAAATTCCCTGCACAAAATTTGGACAGGTCTGGCATACCCCAAAGAACCATATTCGTAAACG